CCTTGTGTTATGACCCTTGAAAAAATATGCTTTAAAAAATCCACTCCTTATATTGTGGCCCTTGAAAAAATATTCTTTAAAAAATCCACGCCTTATATTGTGGCCCTTGAAAATATATTCTTTAAAAAATCCACGCCTTATATTGTGGCCCTTGAAAAAATATTCTTTAAAAAATCCACGCCTTATATTGTGGCCCTTGAAAAAATATTCTTTAAAAAATCCACGCCTTATATTGTGGCCCTTGAAACAATATTCTTTAAAAAATCCACGCCTTATATTGTGGCCCTTGAAAAAATATTCTTTAAAAAATCCACGCCTTATATTGTGGCCCTTGAAAAAATATTCTTTAAAAAATCCACGCCTTATATTGTGGCCCTTGAAAAAATATTCTTTAAAAAATTCACGCCTTATATTGTGGCCCTTGAAAAAATATTCTTTAAAAAATCCACGCCTTATATTGTGGCCCTTGAAAAAATATTCTTTAAAAAATCCACGCCTTATATTGTGGCCCTTGAAAAAATATTCTTTAAAAAATCCACGCCTTATATTGTGGCCCTTGAAAAAATATTCTTTAAAAAATCCACGCCTTATATTGTGGCCCTTGAAAAAATATTCTTTAAAAAATCCACGCCTTATATTGTGGCCCTTGAAAAAATATTCTTTAAAAAATCCACGCCTTATATTGTGGCCCTTGAAAAAATATTCTTTAAAAAATCCACGCCTTATATTGTGGCCCTTGAAAAAATATTCTTTAAAAAATCCACGCCTTATATTGTGGCCCATGAAAAAATATTCTTTAAAAAATCCACGCCTTATATTGTGGCCCTTGAAAAAATATTCTTTAAAAAATCCACGCCTTGTAGTGTGACCCTTGAAAAAATATTCTTTAAAAAATCCAGGCCTTACAATTGTCCTTCAAAAAATATTCTTTCGAGTCCGAGGCCAAATATATGATATTAAATAATTTTTTTTTGTAATAAAATCTTTCAGTTATTTGTCTGAAAAATATTCTTAATATACCACATTCTTCATTTCAGGTTGTCTTTGAAAAAATAACGTTCGCAGGATAGATGGTCTTTTCAAGTTCGTTGAGACATCTGGCGATTATAATTGAAACTAACTATTTTATTGAAGTGATGGGATGTTGCCATGGATTGAACGAAATATCGGAGACACTAACCGTTTGGGTTCGTATATAGCTCTTGTACTAAACATTTAAACTAGTACTAATTAATTTCATGCACATATCCCTCGATTTACAGGATAAATATGTTTCAGATAAAATATGTGATGCCACTGAATTTGGGATAAAATGTTTTGAAAATATTTGTGCACAATAGGAGTTTAAAGGGTAAGTGGTGTAATGTTTTTTTTAAGTTTGATTCTATTGCCGACATATATTGTTTCTTATTATTAATTTACACAGATCAAATAATTTGTTGTGGTGGTTTTACTATTTTAAGGAGTTCTCTCCCATTCACGGATTTACAAAATTATATTTTTGTTTTTTATTTAATTTATGAATGTCCCTTTATGTAAATGCCCTTTCAAGTAAAAATCGCAACAACTTTTAAAGATATTGTGTCAGCATCAAGCGGCGGCAAGATGCCGTGTCAAACATTAAACGCGTTTTTCTCGAAACAGAATTTTAACGAATAGCCTAATATATATATATATATATATATATTAGGCTGGGGAAAAAGAAATGATTTGTTGCCATTTTAAAGGTAACTTCATGATGCCTCTCTCATAGAAGTCCTTCTCTCTATTTTCAAAAAACTCTAGTAGTCGATTTTCGCAATCCTTCCTCCCTAGATACGAATTTTTTATCATTAAAGAAATTTTGCAATGCAAGAAAAAAATGATAATCGCTTGGTGTCAAGTCCGGACTTTATGGCAGACGCATTAAAAGTTCCCAACCAAGCTCCCCAACGTTTCTGGCGAGTCACTGTAGATGTGTGTGTCCTAGCGTTGTCCTGGTGGAATACGATACCTTTCCTGTTGGCCAATTATGACCGTTTTTGGTAAATTGTCACCGTCAAATGGTCCAGTTTTTGACAGTAGAGATCCGAATTTAGCGTTTGACCATATGGAAGCAACTCATAATAAATAATCCCCTTCCAGTCCCACCAAATGCATAGCAGAACCTTCCTGACCGTTAGTCTTGATTTGGACACCGTTTGAGGTGTTTCACCGTTCTTTGACCACGATCGTTTTCGCACAGGGTTATCGTATGTGATACATTTCTCGTCTCCAGTTCCCATTCGATTAAGAAATGGGTCTATTCCATTCTGTTTGGCCAAAGCTTAGCAGATGGAAATTCTATCCTATTTTTCCTGTTTATAGGTGTGGCACCCAAACGTCGAGCTTCTTTTTTAATCCAGTTTTGTGTAAATGGTTAAAACTGTTTTATGGTCGATTTTTAGCTCCTGGGCGACGTTACGACTGCTAACATGACGATCAACTTCGATCATTTCTCCGATTTTATCGACATATTCATAATGGATTTACTTTTCCCCAACCTAATATATTATTGATGAGAATAAAATTCTATGTTGATTTAGCGATGTTCGTTTGTTGAAATCACAATAGAGCTCCCAATATTTAAGATAGAGCTTTGAAATTGTTTACATACATTTCTACTATTAGGAAGTTTGATATACAATCGGTCCTCTTTTTATAAAACAATAACACCAAATATTCGGTATTTTGAGGCTCTTGAGCACGCTTTACAAACTAATTGGCTGTAATTTGTGATTTTGGGTTATCATTGTAAATCTTTCTACTAAAACCTATCAATATTGATCATTTTTTAATCCTTTCAGTGTCAAAAAAAAAGTCGGAATAAAAAATCTAAAATTTTGTATTTAAAATCATATAAAGGGACATAGTTTAGAAAAAATTGCAATTGTCATTTTAATCCTCGGACAGTTTCGTCTATCTTTAAGCAAAATCAAAAACAGCAATAGTAACGGTACATAGGATAACGGAAAAATCGCAAAGAAAGAGAGTACTTTTAAATGTTGAATATATTCGACAAAAACACAGAAATGGTTAAGGGTAGCCCCCATATAAGGCTACGGATTCGGATCTCCTAGATAACGGCACAGACCAATTTTCGACACGTTTAAGATATTAGCTGCATTTTCCGGTTGCATTGTCTGCAATTTGGCATTTTGGGAAATTGGAAATTAAAACTCATAAGTTCGATTTTCTTTCCGATGTTCGAATGCCTCAAGCATTTTTATTGGAAACCAGCGACGAATTATTTTAAATCCAATATGACAATACACAAACACACATTTTTTTATTTTTCATAATTTTTTATATTTTGTGTTTTTTCTTGATAATATATTACAATTTTCATTTAATTTAAAAATAAAATTCATAAATATCATGTATGCTTAGAAATAAATTACAATTAAATGTTGATTGTGGTCTAACTAAATTACTGAAATTATTTACAAATGATGATAGTTCATAAATTAATGATGTGAAAAAATGCATTGATTAGGAGGATGGGATTGGTATAAATTTCTTTTTTGAAGTTTAAAAAAATATATGCCAATAAATACCGTTGTCCGGTGTGAGTTTGCCAATTATCAAAAAAAAACATTTCAATGTCAATAAATGATAACAAAAACACACCTATTGTTAGTTGTTTACAGTTATAACGAAACGAAGAAAAAAACTTGACTAAACCTAGACACAAACCTGAAGAGAATTTAGAACGAAAGGGGAAACTTTTTCGTTAAGAGATTATCTGCTTACAAAAATGGGATATTTTGGTCGATGTATTATCTAAGGGCATATTTTGGTCGATGTATTATCTAAGTTAGGGGAATTTTTAATGATTATAAGTGGTTTGTGTCTAGGCTTAGTTAAATTTGATACTCGTCAAGTTTAGCCAAATCATTTAGTTTGGTTCTAAGACTCTTTTAGACTGTGCGATTTGTTGATACAATTTTGACGAATTTAGGGAGAGCGAAAAAAACTTCCAGGAGCTCCTATGCAAATTTAATACTTTTTAGAAATTTTGGGTTTGAATAAATAATTTTTCAATACTAATATCTTCCAAAAATTTTGGGGAATGGTTTTCTAAGAATTTTGCATTCTCTCCCTAAATCCTAAGGGTTTCCTTAAAACTTACTTTCGCACAGTCCTCTTGGGACCACATTTTTTTTGTGGTCTTTGCTTTTTTTGGTAAATTGTCTAAATCATCTTGGCGGAATGCTCGCAATACTTTTGTTGCATTATATTTTCACTTCCCGTTATAACGGCAGATGACTCATTGATGGGACATAATTTCAGATGAATATGAGGCGATTCCAATGATTCTACAATAATATACGATATAAAGATACGTGGTGAGGTAAGCAGACGCCATGTCAATGGATTGAAAAGACTTGTCTGGTAGTCCCAATAAACGCTCGCATAGACGGGATCTTTAATTTCATTGCCCACCACTAAACTCGTATATTCAAAGCCGGGTTCAAAGAATTTCGGCTCTGAGGTGAATTTCATTTTTTCCGTGACCTTTTTATAGGATTTGCCATGCAGGCGTACTGAGAGAGTGCCAATTTCTCCACCATGGGTGGTACTTTGATCGTGTCCCGATATGCGTACGGAGACTTTGTAATGGTGACCTGGAATTGAGAGAGAGGAATGAAATGTTAGTTAGGGCGACTATTGTATTTTTGGGGAAATAATAACATATAAGAACTTCTCTGAACAGACCTCATGGCGTGGATTTTTATAAAATATTTTTTAAGGGTTAACCGATCTTTAAGAATGGACCTCTAAGCGTGGATTTTTAAAGAACATTTTTTAGAGGAACATTCGACCTCAAAGCGTGGTTTTAAATAATATTTGTAAGAGGAACATTCGATCTCTAAGCGTGAATTGTTAAAGAAAATTTTTCAGAGGAACATTCGACATCTAAGCGTGGATTTTTAAAGAACATTTTTCAGAGGAACATTCGACCTTTAAGCATGGATTTTTAATTAACATTTTTCAGAGGAACATTTGACCTCTAAGCGTGGATTTTTAAAGAACATTTTTCAGAGTAACATTCGACCTCTTAGCGTGGATTTTTAAAGAATATTTTTTAGAGCAACATCCGACCTCTAAACGGGGATTTTTAAAGAATATTTTTTAGAGGAACATCAGACCTCTAAGCGTGGATTTTTAAGAAAAATTTTCAGAGGAACATTCGACCTCTACGCGTGGATTTTTAAAGAATATTTTTTAAAGAAACATCCGACCTCTTTGCGTAGATTTTTAAAGAATATTTTTTAGAGAAACATCCGACCTCTTAGCGAGGATTTTTAAAGAATACTTTTTAGAGAAACATCCGACCTCTTAGCGTGGATTTTTAAAGAATACTTTTTAGAGAAACATCCGACCTCTCCTCGGCCTCCAAGCGAGGATTTATATAGAATATTTACCTTGGCATAGTAGGCCTCCAAGCGTAAATATTTTAAAGAATATTTTTCAAGGTTCGGTAGGCCTCCAAGCGTGGATTTTTTTAAGGAATATTTTTAAGGGCTTAGTAGGCCTCCAAGCGTGAATTTTTTAAGGAATATTTTCTCAAGGTTTTCTCAAGGCATGGATTTTTTAAGGAATATTTTTTCAAGGCTTAGTAGGCCTCCAAGCGCGGATTTTTTAAGGAAAATTTTTTTAAGGCTTAGTAGGCCTCCAAGAGTGGATTTTTTAAGGAATATTTTTTTAAGTCCTAGTAGGACTCCAAGCTTGAATTTTTTAAGGAATATCTTTTCAAGGCTTAGTAGGCCTCCAACCGTGGATTTTTTAAAGAAATTTTTTTTAAGGCTTAGTAGGCCTCCAACCGTGGATTTTTTAAGGAATATTTTTTCAAGGTTTGCCGTGCTATCCGTTAAATATTTTTCTTTATAATTCCTAAAATACTTACGACAGAAGGGAGCCTTGTCACCGGTCATCAAGTACAAAACGGGAGGATTTTTCCGGCTATCGATTTTCTTGGCCCTAACCAGCGAACGATAATCCTCATAGCTGTGATAGCCCATTCTCATACACCTATTTCCATTTTCATTGCATCGCGAACATTTGCCCTCCTTAAAGCTCTGAAAAAATAAACACTTCGTTATTAAATCTGTAAATTAAGTTTATAAATTTCCTCAAACTCACCTCATACGAATCACAGGTGATACCCATAAAAGGACATTTACTGCTAACGCTCTCCGTAAAATATTGATAACTTCTCAAATGGTTACAGCTCAAAAACATTTGCATATTTTCGAAGACAGAATTTTGACGATTTTTCATGTACTCCTGAAGTTTAACATCACACCCCGGCATTTCGACACCTCCATTGGGATAGAAATCAACATGACCCACTCTCTGATACAGACCCAAACCACCAACGATGTTAGCATCTGTGTGTATGACATCCACATAATGCGCATCAGAACGATCCAAGCGAACAATGGGATCTGTTTCAGCAAACAGCGGTGCTGCAGGGTCCATACCAGTAATACGTCCCAATTTCAACCCGAAATCGCGTTGTAAATGTGATCCAGCATAACCGGCCAAATGGGAACCCAACGAGTGGCCAATGAAGTGGACTTTATTTAAATTATCCATGCCCAACTCTTCGTAGAACATGTGTATCACGTGAGCGGTAATTGCGCCCACTAATCGAATATTGGCCACTGCTTGGACATATGGTGGACTTGAACCACCACCCCAATCGATGAGTACCACAGCAGCTTCTCCCTCCGGCTCGGCGTTCAGTATGGCCTTGCCCATTTCAATCATCTGTAAGGGAAAGAGGGGGAATTAAACATAGGAAATTATTAGGTGAAGGATCAAAGGAGCTAGAAGCGTTGTAATAATTTTTTTAAGGGCTAATAGGGACCTTTTTAATCGGATCTGAGGAGGAAATTATTCAAACAATTGAAATGTAGGCTATAATTCATTGAGACTATTTTTGAATAAAAATAATACCTTTTCAGGGACCTGAGATAAGCTTGGATTTTTAAAGAAAAATTTTTCAGAGACCTGGCATAAGCGTGGGTTTTTAAAGAATATTATTTGCAGAGACCTGGGATAAGCATGGATTTTTAAAGAAAAATTTTTTCAGAGACCCGGCATAAGCGTGGGGTTTTAAAGAATATTTTTTTCCGAGACCTGGGATAAGCATGGATTTTTAAAGAAAAATTTTTTCAGAGACCCGGCATAAGCGTGGGGTTTTAAAGAATATTTTTTTCCGAGACCTGGGATAAGCATGGATTTTTAAAGAATATTTTTGTTTCAGAAACCTGGGATAAGCGTGGATTTTTAACGACTATTTTTTGGGAACCTATGTTATATCTCCTATAAGCCTGACTTTTTAAAGAGTGTTTTTAAAGAGAGACATAAACGTGGATTTCTAAAGAATATTTTTCATGGATCCGAGGAGATATGAATGTGGATTTATTTATGAATAGTTTTTCTGGGACACGAGGTCTATGAGATTTTTGATTTTTTTTAAATACCAAGAGACCTCTATTTGTTTGTGGTCCAAAACTTACCCACTGAACATTGCCTCCCTCCAAATAGCCATGGGATATGAAAAACAATTTCCCCTCCGGATTAATGTTCATATGTCGCAGCGCTTCAGGATCATTTAAATCGACAAATTTCGGATCGTTAAATGCTCGTGTCGTATACAGCGTATAATGAGGTTCAATTTGTGACGGCTTTTGAGGATGTACATTAATTTGACGTGTTGTCGAGGTCCAGGGTCCATTAAGGGGGAAACAGCCATAGACACCATAACAACGTACTTCATTTAAATCTACAAAGACAAAATAACAACAAATTTCCATTAGAATCTAATTAAGAATGTCTGCGATTTTTTTGCTTATCTACAATGATTTGTGATTCTGAATTTAAAATGTATTTTTAAATATGTTGTTATATACAATATTAGTTTTTTATGGATTTTTTCCATATGTGTTTGTATATTTTTGCTTGATGTTTCCAAGTGTCGGAATCGCACGCTTGAACCCTTCACTTGTAGTTTATATTGTGAACTTAGTGATAAGCCCTGGCTATTTGTTTGATTATATATTTCCAATGTTGCTAAGATGCTTGTAAAAATGTTTGTAATAAGATTTAGCTTGATATCGATTGATCTACATTATATTATATTTTTTTACAGTAATGAACATATGGTCCATGTAAAAAAAGAAGGTCAGAAATGCTTTTAATTTGATAGATGTATAAAAATGTGGATTTCTTTAACGGACCAAGGGTATGTTTTAAGAGCTCATTGGAGCTATAAGTGTGTATTTTTATGAATCTTTCTTTTGGTCCATTTCATCCCCTAAATAATAACGGCCAGAACCCATACTACATGCAAAATTTCGTGACGATTGGTCCATAACTGTGGCCTGTATCGTGTTTAAAAATTATAATGGACAGGCGGACGGACAGACATGTCTAGATCGACTCAGCTATTAACGATCGGTATACTTAAAGGTGGGTCTAGGACCAATATTTTGCGGCGTTACAAACTCTTGGAGCTGCACAAAACTATAATACCCTGACAACATAGTAGTGTAGGGTAAACCAATAAGGAAAATAGTAAAGTCGGACTGCGCCGACTATATGATACCCTTCACCACTTTGGGTATATTCTACAGACGTCGCCTTTTCGAAGGAACATTGAGATGAAATTGAACGAACTTAAATCTAAATCTAACCCGATTTTCTCGAAACTTAACACTCGAGCTATGGTAGGGATAGATTTCTATCTCAAAGGCCCCATGAACATGCAGAAAGATTGCCGGTTGGCCAATCTTTGGATCTTTAGTGCACAATTTACATTAAATTGGACGAAAATATATGGGGGCTAAATCTAAATCTGAACAGATTTTCACAAAACTTAGCACGTATCATTCTGGACCTAATTCTGTACCCTTTGCCAAATTTTGTGCAATTCGAAAGGTATATGGGGACTTTGGTGACACATTTACCTTAAATCGGACTAAAATATATATGGGTGCTATATATAAATCTGACCCGATTTTCTCGAAATTTGGCACACGTCATGGGACCTATATCTAAATCTGACCGGATTTTCTGGAAACGTGACACACAGCCTCAATTCAGTACACTATGCAAAATTTCGCGCAAATCAAAAGATATATAGGGACTTTGGTGCACCATTTACCTTAAATCGGACGAAAATAAACATGGTACCTATATCTAAATCTGACCCGATTTTCTGGAAACTTGACAAACATCATTCTAGCCTCAATTCAGTACACTATTCAAAATTTCACGCAAATCGAAAGATATATAGGGACTTTGGTACCCCATTTGCATTAAGTCGGACGAAAATATATATGGGACCTATATCTAAATCTCAGCCGATTTTCTCGAAACTTAACACACATCATTCGGTACGCTATGCCAAATTTCGTGCAAATCGAAAGATATATAGTGCCATTTATCATAAATCAGACAAAACTATATATGGGAGCTATATCTAAATCATAAAATCTAAATCGATTTTCTCGAAACTTGACACACATCATTCTAGATATAATTCAGTATACTATGCAAATTTTGTACAAATCGAAGGATATATAGGGGTTTTGGTTCACTATTTACATAAAATCGGACAAAACTATATATGGAAGCTATCATTCTGTACCCATTTCAGAACTCTATGCCAAATTTCATCCAAATCGAAAGATATATAGGGACTTTGGCGACCCATTTACATAAGATCGGACGAAACTATATACGGGAGCTATATCTAAATCTGAACCGATTTTCTTTAATTTCAATAGGGGTTTTCCTTGGGCCAAACTAATGAGCTATGCCAAATACCATTCAAATCAGATCATAAATGCGACCTGTACTTTGTGTACAATTTAACATCTACAGACGGACGGACTGACGGACATGCATAAATCAACTCAGAAAGTAATTCTATGCATATTCTCAAAAGGAACCATATGTAAAAAGACATAATACCCTGAACCACAGTGTGGTGAAGGGCATAAAAACACATATTCGACACATATTTTAAGGCCGGATTTTCTCAAAAAAAAATATATAATTCAAATAAATGCTAATCGTATTTTTTATTATAAATAATTGAAAATGTTGCGCAGACTTGTCCTTTTGAATTTAGGTAAATCCCCCATATATTGGTATCCCAACAAACATTGGACACATTTTCCCACTAAATTGGCTATAATGCGATATTTTGAATTTTCATTGCGTAGCAAATATTCCATCAATTATTATTAATATTTGTATAATTTGAGGTATAAACCCCATATGATGATGTCCCCAACGTTCGGTCTTTTGAGAATCTTTTCGGGCAATACTCCTAAGTATGGCATTTATTGGAGTTAGAAAAACCCTTGCGTGAAACCTCCTATGTCTAATTTTTTTATAATTTTTGTTAGTCAAATTCAGTCAGAAGATACTTCTTAAGGACCGAAAATAATGGAGAAAATTCTGAGTATTTTTCTTGAAGTAATGAAAGATATTATTTTCGATCTTGCCGGTAGTTGCAACCACAATGCTTGGTGAAACCTATATTAATTAAAGTCCGTCGTTATTTATTATTCGACATTATTATTTTTTCTAATAATCTGATTATTTGAATCAGAATATATTAAGACCTCGGTTATGTCTCAAAAATATTAATATGTCATTGATGGCTCAACATTAGCTTTCCATGTCAATAATAAAAATACATATTAAAGCTATTGCAGCAAATTCCCCCCAAAAACATCAACAAACTTCTAGCAACACATAAACCTAACCAAAAACAATTAAAAAATAATGCCGGCTATTAAAAAATGACACGCTTACTGCAAATTAGTCACGATGTATTGCCCCAAAAAACAGTTTGCAGCAAGACAACGGAAAACTTCTAGAGTTTTGTTGCACAATTTTAGCGCATTGTCTTTTTGCCACTTTGGCGCTCTGCATAGTCAAAGGCGATTTTTCCAGATGCAATACTTTTGTGTTATGTTCACTACCCAACCATTTGCGGTAATTTAATTACACTTACCAGCTTTTGCTGCAGCCGGCATATCGATCAGCGTATCAATTGCTGCTCTATTTGTTTGATTCGCCAAATACAGCATGGTCTGAAGCATCAGACCACCGGTGGAATTTGCAACATACATTGCGGCGGTGAATTAACACAATGCAGCTTCTTTTGAGTTCTTCTCTTCTTCTTCTCCAAATTTTTTTGTTGAAAAAATTAAACACAATATTTTTACTATAATGTCTTATCAATTCCGTAGTACTACAGAACTGTCTTTAGTTTGTATTTCTTTGATTATTTCTTTTTTGCCTTTAATTATTTTTTCTTTCAATTTTCACTTATCAATCAAACAACAATTCACAATAATGATTATAAAGTCTTTGTTTTTGTAAAATATTTTTATATTTTTTAAGATTTAAAAAATCTTCTTTTTCCGTATTGGTTTCTGTTTTTCTTTCCATAAACCTTCTTGTTTGAAATGCACCGCTATACTGAGATTTATAAAACGTTCCCAAGGAATTTTATACCGATTCGCCAATGAATTGAGCTCTCCTCCAAGATCTCTCGCATGCTCTGTCCACCACTTATGGTCTCTGTTTTTTTAATCTCATCTTGACCACATGTATTTGTTATGATTTTTTTCCAATGCTCAAGCCCCCCAAACGGTTTATATTTTTTTGCTCATTTTTTATTTTGTTAGTATTTTTCGTTTTGTTTTCTTTCAAGAGAGAGTTTAAAGTACAATTACCTCCACTTGTTGCCTCTCTGAACTCTCATCTCCATTGGAATCTTATTCTTCTTCATCTGTATCATCATCGTCATTACTCAGTATTATCAGCTGTGTGTATTTTTTTTTTTTTTATTCCACTGGCTTTAGTCGGTTCAAAGCAAATTACCAATGCTTTTTGCTACTGTGACCACCGACGTTCGTCCGTTGATCTTGTAAAGAATTTGATCTGCTATGAAAGGTTTATTATGTTAGGGTTAGACATTAATTTGAAAATAGCATCTGTAAAGCACTGAGAAAAATATTGGATTATATTATTAGATCCTTTTTATTCACCCACACAACAATGTTTTGAGGTTATTAGAATTTTTATTTGGCCTCAGAAATGTTGATCCAGTCCATTTAAAGCATTTTAATTTCCAGCATATACACATTTCGTTGAAAAATATCACTTGTATTAAATATCGTAAAGTTTTGAATATTTCGTACGCTTCCAAAATCATATATCAGATCAACCAAAGTAATATTTGTGTGCATATATAATTGAAATAAAAATCCAAATTCTATACAGCAAATCCAATATTAATCTTAGAAATTGCAGCTCTATTCATTCACTCAACACCAAATTTAATAATTTTAATAGAACTATGAATTTCTCGTACTTGTTTAGTTCCATGTGCCAGAAATCCTGTGGTACATCTATTCAATGCTCCACCAGGGACGCTGAGTTCAAATTTCAGAGCTGTGGTTGAGCAAGGAAACGATCGGTAGTAGGTCCGTTTGTTTCGTTAATTTAGTTACTTTCGATTCAGTCGTTCATTTTCGCTCTTGTTCACCTAGTTACTTTTGGAATAATCGTTCATCTGTATGACCGAACAATGAATGATTGTATTAAAACTCTAAGCTCCATGTTTATCGATATTTAACAAGTAAAATAGAGAGAAAACCTGTAAAAACACCGTTATGTGTACGGCTTGGTCGAACATTTTATATGTGAAGTAACATCAGTATACCAAAAATTAAGCGGGACATTGATATTAATAACTTCTCGAAAGATATGCCATTTCGATGAGAAAATTCGATTAAAATCTTAATAATACTTAAAATGTGACGGAATCTTTATGTGGGGGCTATATAAAAACTTGGACCTAATTATATACAAAAACAGGTAAACAAATAAGAGTAGGTGTTGCCGACAGTTATATACACTCGGCCTATGGTTTGCGATCGTCTTCGGAATTACACACAGATTTAAATATTCATTTATTTGTATAAGGTATATGTCTTTATTAAATAGGTTTCGTTAATGTAGTTGTCGGTTATTTAATTAGCTTAAAATTAAGTAGTGGACCAATGGGTCCACTGGACGTGGTAAAAATAATAGTTTGTGCGAGGTTTAGTTCAAATCGGACATTCCATACGCCTGATATTGGATTTATAAATATTGAAAATTTGGGTACAATGGGCCAGAAGGAGTAGGCCTATGGGAACAATCTTCAGACTTGATGTGTTATGTTTATGTTTAGGATGTGTTAAGTTTAGTTCCAATCGGACATTCCATTCGCATAATATTCAGTTCATAAATATTGAAATTTGTGACCAATTGGTTCCATTTCCGGACTTGATCTAAGCTTGGTAAAGATACTAGGTTGTGCAAAGTTTGGTTCAAGTTGCACATTCCGTTCTCCTACTTTTTTTTTTTTGATTTGTAAATAACCATAGTGTTGACCATGTGGGAGGTATCAGAAGGTGTGGATCAGTAGGTCACATCTTAGGACTTGATCTAGGCTTGGTGATGATAATGGGTAGTACAAATTTTGGTTCAAATCGCAATTGTGACCATTTGTGGGGGAGGTACCAAAAGGAGTGGACCGATAATCCTCCTCTTCGAACTTGAATTAATTTTGGGAGAAATGTTATGATGTCCAAAGTGTATATACCCTCATTAGCGATAAGACTGAGGGATAATGAGTATTACCTTGCAATATCGTGGAAATCCAATTTACAATGAGAAAATTCGGCTAAAATCTTTAAAATACTGACAACGGGCGCTCTCCTTATATGGGTACTATCTGTAATAAGTATGTCAGCCTTCAAGAATCTTTAATATCAAATTACAGCCACATCAGTGCGATTAAAGCCTTTATAATATTGGAGCTATACTAAAATCTAAACCTAAAATGTAAAAATCAAATTAGAAAAAATCCGATTAAAAACTTGCCCAAAATATCGAATAATAGGGGGTATCATAATATGGGTACTACCTGTATACTTGGGTCGATATTGAACATTTTTTGAGGGAAATTTGGGGATGTGGCATTATATGGAGGTCGCTCTAAAATGTGGACCAATATTTTTTTATTTTTTTAGTGGGAACTAAATTTCTACCTAATAAGAAACTTCAAAACATACATAACTTCAAAATCCGTTGTATGGGGGGTTACCAACTACCAAAAGTGTATAGATGTATCATATTTATAATACGAATTATAATTGGGAAAAATATTTGTTAAAGATAAAGATGTTGTTTACCTTCCAACAGTCCGGAATTCCAAATACAGACATTTCCGTGGAGAAATTCGTCTAAAACTTTCAAAATATACCGGGACCTATATCGAAAATCTGCAAAGGTGTTTTTCATTTGGAGAAAAAAAAAATCTAGGATCTTTATATGGGGAGCAGAAGCCCTCATATGTAAGAACCTGGAGTGCCCGGAGTGTAAGGAAAGCAGTAAAGTCGGACGGGGCCGACTATATGATACCCTTCCCCACTTTGGGTATATCCAACTTTGGTGCACTATTTACCTAAAATCGGACGAAAATATATATGGGAGCTATATCTAAATCTGAACCGATTTTCACGAAATTTAACAACATCGTTCTAGGCTTAATTCAGTACGCTATGCCAAATTTATTGAAAATCGAAGGGTATATAGGGACTTTGGTGCACTATTTACCTCAAATCGGACGAAAATATATATGGGAGCTATATCAATATCTGAACCGATTTTTCCCAATTTCAATAGGGTTCGTCTTTGGGCCAAATAATTTAAGTATGCCAAATTTCATCCAAATCGGATCACAAATGCGACCGGTACTTTGTTAACAAAAAAAAAAAAACATGGACGGACGGACAGACGGACATGCATAAATCGACTTAAAAAGTGATTCTATGCATATTCTCAAAAGGAACAATGTGTCTATCTCGTTTCCTTTTGCCTGTTACAACCACAGTGTGGTGAAGGGTATAAAAACTTGACACACACAAGGTTATAGTAACTTCAGTACATTGTACAAAATTGTGTGCGGGTCGGCCAATCTTTGGTTCTTTAGTGCACAATTTACATTAAATCGGACGAAAATATATATTGGAGCTATATATAAATCTGAACCGTTTTTCACGAATCTTAGCACACATCATTCTGGACCCATTTCAGTGCCCTATGCCAAATTTCGTGCAAATCGAAAGATACATAGGGACTTTGGAGACCCATTTACTTTAAATAGGACGAAAATATATATGGTAGCTATATATAAATCTGACCCAATTTTCTCGAAACTTGGCACACGTCATTCTTGACCTAATTTAGTACTCTGTGCCAAATTTCGTGCAAATCGAAAGATATATAGGGATTTTGGAGACCCATTTACATTAAATCGGACGAAAATATATACGGGAGCTATATCTAAAGCTGGGCCGATTTTCGCGAAACTTAGCACACATCATTCTAGACTTAATTCAGTACGCTGTGCCAAATTTCGTGCAAATCGAAAGGTATATAGGCATTTTTGTGCACCATTTACATAGAATCGGACAAAACTATATATGGGAGCTATATCTAAATCTGAACTGATTTGGCACACATCATTCTGCACCTAATTCAGTACTATGTGCCAAAGTGACTTGTGCCAAATTTCATCCAAATCGGATCATAAATGCGACCTGTACTTTGTTTACAATTTAACATCTACAGACGGACATGCATAAATCGACTCAGAAAGAAAGTAAAAATTGGCTAAACATGTTGGAAATTTTTGAGGTAGTAGTTGTCAAGTTCCACGGCGTTATATGACGGTTATGCCAAAACATGGACGGATATATATATATATATATATATATATATCATTTTCATCAAACTGATTGACAAAATTAATATGTACTATACCTTTTGGTGGAAGGTATAAAAACCGCAGAGGATGTTAAAAGTCAGCTATAATTCGGAACAGTAATATCCAAAAGAATTGACATAATAATTAATTTCTTACGTCCTCTTTTTTAGAGGACAATCATCCATTTTAACAGGCTGTCATCTATAAAATGTATGTCCTCTATCTGCCATCTATTTCTATAATCTGCCATCGTTGTCATCTATAATTTTATAAATTTTGATTAATATTTATTTTCGTAAAAAAAA